ATGTTGACGTGTTCAATACTTATTTTACCCGCTGTATGTATGTATGCATGTGTGTGTATATGTGCATGTGCCTGATTGTGTGTGATGGTCAAATATCGGGTGTGGTGTCCTGTGTGTTATTGGTGTTTATTTCAAATGTATAATTTCTATCGGTCTCTCTCTTTACTGTTCTTATATTTCTCTTCTACTTTTTCTTTTTCTTTCTTACTATTGTATTATCAAGAAAAGCCCCTGATGATGCAGAAATCAAGAAACTAACATTCAGTTTAGTTTTCTAGTGAAGTGGCAATAAAAGACAAAAATAATTTAAGTAAGTAAGGAAATTAATTAAATGAATTTTTATTTCTATATCCATCATTAAAAATAGTGACTGTGCTGTCAGCTGCTGGAAATCTCCAAGATCAGATCAAAACTTGAGAGCCCTGTCATCATCTCTTTCACCATCTTTGTCCATGATGTCAGTGTGGTTGTGTGTGATGGAGTTGTAACCAAGGGATGAGACCAATGTTGCCACTTCACTTTAAACTGTCAACGACTAAGAAATGCCATCACAGACACACCTCCCAAGACCCAATACGCTTGGGGTCTTAGATGATCAATCAAAGTATTTTTGGGGACAAGAATATAACTTGTAACAACTTCAACACCAAACTTCCAAATTCCTCCTTGTAATATTCTCTGGTTAAAAAGGTGGAAATCATTGGATTCTAGTTCCAAAGACTGGAGTTCCAACACAGAGTTTTAACTTAAAAAAATGGAAAAAGGCCACATAATGAAAAGCCACTGATTGTTCCTAATTACACCAAGTGGGTGCAATTAATGTAAGAGTGGGAGGAGTTAAACTCTTTCCTCATCTGTTTTTCCTTTCTATTAAAAGCCTGAATGACCTTCATTACTGACAGACATGGTGTGAATTTTAAAATGAGACACTTTTATCCATAATTACCAAGCTGTTATTTAATTAGTGCACGATAATGGAAATATTGTGTCTGTGAATGTTGAGTAGGCTGTTTTTACTGCAAAAAAAGAGAGACTAAAATCTGCAGCAGTGCAGTAATACTCAGTCAAACTGCACTTTTCCACTCTTATGATCCCTCAAAAAACTTTTACATGATACACCATATTTGCCACTCACACATTAATTTGTAGACCAGGAGCAACTTGGGGTTGTGTGACTTACCCATGGATGATGAGCAGAAGAAGCCAGGATCAAGCCATCTTCCCAGTTGGCAGATCATTGCTCTCCCTCTTGTGTACTTTTTATCTCGACTAAATGTGATGAAGACTGGACAGACGAAAATGTTGTAAATAAAGAAAGCAAGTTCTTTATTTGGTCTTTCAGTTGTATCTTTCTCTGACTCACTGGAGTCTAAGGGTGTATTCAGACCAGGAAAGTCCTTTGGTCCAATTGTCTGATCCGGACCAAAAATGGACTATTTTTTTTCGTTTGGTGCTGTTTGCATTCACATTGTGCTTTTTTGCAAATGAACTATTCGTTGTAACCAAAGCCACGAGTGTGATGATCATTGCTCCCATTGGACAAAAAAAGGACGGGGGCGGGACTGAGCCACAGATCCAGAAGAAAACAAGGAAGTCCTGCATGCTGCGGTTCTGATGCACACATTTTTACTGATAGTACAACTGTAATAGCATTTAAAATGTCAGAAGCAGCTAATTTAATGGTGTCCTGATGCATCTCAGTAATCC